TTTCTCTCTCTCTCAGTGGTAAATTGTGAATTGTGTTGGAAAACATTACCACAGGTAGAAACAAAAAAGTACGAAAAGGTACCTAAAATTCTACTTCAAATGATAATAAATCACGAGAAATATTGGCCAATATTTATACCAGTTATTTGCATAAATAATATATGTTATAATTTAAGCGTAAATGTATTCACGAATAATAAAAAATATAATTTTTGTTTTGGTACGTTTATGTCAATTCGTACCTTTTGTGAACAAAAAGTACGCTTGTTACAAAATTAAAAATAGCGCAACTCTAATTACTCTCTCAAGAGAGAGAAACTCTCAACGCCGATCCCGATCCCGACAAATATAAAACCACGCAAAAAAAATATCTACAGTTAGTTCCTTGTGTGTTTCCCACTTCCTTTTTGCGCCCCATTCCGGTCATGTAATGTAGAATTTATTTTTAAACATCCTTGTAACCTACCCTTATTATTATTTTTTCGTTGATTGTTAGGTAAGGTTGCGTGGTACACCTGCAAAAAACAAAAAATGCTGACATACGTAAAGTGTGCCTGGTAGTAATGCTTTTTGTAAACCATACGTCAATTTATGTTATACAAATTGATTATTGCCGAAAAACCGAATATAATTGTTTATGATATCCTCCACCATCAAACGGAAGAGAGGGGGTGTCATATAAAAGTTGTTATTGTGTGTGTGTTTCTATTCGAAATGTGTATCTTTAATTGTTTGCTACTTCAAGTGCATTTTTTCCCATTACACTGTGCAGAGTTTCTCAAAAAAACTGTTATTTTTGAATATAAAGAAGAATACATTCTTTTGTGATAAATAAATGATAAATTTTAATTCCGTTGACACCACGAGCACACTTTCAGGATCATATTCATTTCATGCTCATTTGCATAACCAAACCGGAAAGTGACTGCCCTATTTCCTCGATAGATTTATATCTTTGAATTTTTTTATATTCGCTGAACTGTTGGCTTATATCTTGTTTATGTTCCAAAACTGCAAGAATATATTCATATTCAATATATGAATTTTTCGCCCAATTTTTTCCCAATATCTTAGTGGTGAAAGAGGAAACACGCTTAGGTCTCCAGAAATAATTTCTCTGAGCTTCGATTTAAATTTGCTTTTGAAATAATAAGGTGACGACGCCGCCAATAACTTCCGACCCCTTTTTACGCCATAACATCTTGAGCCCTGTTATTCCACAAACACAAAACTTCTAATATTAGAAAATAATTTTCCCCAAAATGTTCGTGGACCTTTTTACAGTACTTTAAGATATATGTAATAATTTATTTGTTATAGTTTTGCTGGAAATTTATTTTTTTATGAAAACAAAATGAAATAAAACTTTTTCACTCCACACATTAAAATATGCGATCAGTATTCTACTATGTGAACCCTAAGATAGTACTTTCATACACTGAACATACTCTTTCAACAACTCCATCAAATAACGTGAGCCATTACACAACACTAAAGTTACACTGAACATACACATACATACTGTCAATGTAGCATACTAAATATTCTTACACTGAACATACTCATTGTTGTACAATATGATTACATGAACATTAAATTATGAAACAAACTACATTATGAGAAGAAAAAATAAACAAAGTATATGCTTTGTTCTAATAAAGCTTGTTCTACTAGTACAAAAAATGTCAAAACTATATGGTAATACTGTAAAATCAACACAATCAGAATTTTACATTCCTAGATACCATTTTTATTCGACTAAATTTCTCCAATAAGAAAACGATATTTTGGCATGTGTTCTGATAAATTTGGTTGCAAGTTTTATTAGTTCGGGAAAAAATGACAAAACTAAACGGTATTTACATTAGAACTTTTTACAGGGTTAACCTACTTTATGAGGATTTATTTGACATATATTCAAAGGAATTGAAAATTTAAACCCACTGGGTTGACCTAATCCAGTTCAATGTAAACGGCCTTTTAGGTTGTTATTCTTCGAAATTAATAAAATAACCAATCAGAATTTTGGATACCTGATTACAATTATTATAGATTTGTTTTGACTCTCACGAATATTATTAATAATTACCGTATAAAATATAATGATTATAATTGTTTCTCGAGGTGGCTTGTTCTATCAAATCAAAATACATATGTGTGTATATAGTTTTCACCTCAAGTTCTGATTAAAATGGCAAGAACTAAATGATGTTTTTCAAATATTTTTAACTTATGAACTGTTTTACATATAAAATTATATCATGATTAAGACCCGTACCTAAATTCAGTGCGTTGCGTACTGAAATACCCACCTTCTCACCTTTACAGGGTTTGTTGAACGTCCGTATTACCCAAATACGCAAGGACCTTATTTACTTGACTGTCAATTGGAAATGGCGAAAATTAATGAAACATTTTCTTAATTAAATGAAAAATGTTTACATTTATAGAAGAACTATTTTTTTCAATAACTAGAATTTTATTTTCAAAAAACAAAAAATCCAAAAACGCATTGTCAATGTTGAAATTTGTCAACTTTATATTTTTATACGCAATACATGTATTTAACTTTTGAGGTATATAAAATCGTGCGCATAAGCATAATTTAGGTACGACCCTAAAGGCCGAATAAGGGGTATTTTCTTAATCTAGCTAAATTTGACATGAATTACCGTACAATCATCTTGTGGCAGTGTTTGTTTTAAATCATGAACGGGATCTTGGTACTAATGAGATGCAACGAGGTTTAGTACGAAAAAATACATCTCTCTCACAATGAACCAAAATTTGCAACTGTTTTCAAATTTTGTTTGATTTTATATCAACCGGTTTCCAAATACAAAAAGAAAAATTAAAATGATTTAAAAAATTTAATAAAATTTTGTGTTTACAGGTGATTTTCTTACTTTCCAAACGAACACAACATTGCAAAAACATTTCCCTTGCTGTAATTTTTCTTTTCATTTTCAACTTGCAAACAAATATTTTAGGAACAAATTATTATTTTTTTTTCGTCTTTACTCCTAGTCTACTTCCTATTTAGTATAGGAGATATAGGACCATATATCATGCGTAGAAAAAGTCTAAAAATCTTAAAAAAATATAGTTCAGCTTCAATAAGTTGTTATTTTGTGACTTAATAGGTTTTCCGTTTTTTTCTTTTTGTAAACAACTATCAGCTGACTTTCATTCCTAAATGATCTTAAAGCCTTAATTTATTTTCAGAACTTCGGAAAGTAGAACTTTTCAGGAAGTGTGTATGCAAATGTACTATTAGCATATGATTAGATTGATTATGGATTTATCGTGATGAACTCAGTTTGATTTAGCAATTAATTTGAGATAATGCAGATTATAATTATTATTCTAAACTCAGGTTATACTTAATTTCAATTATTAAATAATAATATTTTAAGATTTTACATTCTAAAGTGTTTTTCTTTAATTTGTTTGCAACTTCATCAAAGGATGCGAACCCTACAGTGAAATTGCATGCACTGAACATACTTATTAGAAGACAACATGGTGATTACGTGAACACCAACCGATGAAATATTAAATAAAATGAGTAAATCTTATACATAAACTTTTTTTAATATACTTGTTTGTCATATATCGCATGTTTTACACTCATGGTATGTCTTTATGTTTGTATTATCCATAAATATGAATCAATTGTAATACAATTTTTTTTACACTGAACATACTCATTGCGGAAGGAACAACAGGGTAACATAAACATACATTTATGAAATAAAGAAATTAATTAACATTATTTGTCCTATTGTGAGCAATTCCTATGAAATGTGACCAACAATTCAACAATATTTTTTCCCACACTGAACGTACTCATCAAAATAGACAATAACAAACAAAATTAAATAAAATGCACGTTTAGGTTTTTATTACACGCCAACGATAGAAAAAGGAAGGAAGCTATTGTTTTTATTATTTTTTTCTGATAATATAATAAATAAAACCTTCAGTGCAGAATTTATCGACCACCTTAACAACAAACAAGGAATTATTTGACTATAAATCCAATTCTACCGAAGTTAAATTTATTTTTATGATGAAAAATATATATAAATATATTTAATATTCAATATAAGCATTGTAAAATACTACAAGAAGAATCAATGGCTTAAAATATGCTTAATACAAAATCTGTAAGGAAGAAATTTACTATTTGTGGGATAAATCTAAATTATATTCTATTTCGAATTTGTAAGAAAAATCGATTATTATTTTTACGTTTTTAGTAGTAATATGTTAAGCATATGTAAAATAAACATATGCGTATCGGTTTCAGTAATATGTACAATTATAATTTCAAATTTTATCAGGAAAAAAAATTTCCTCATTTTTTGAAAAACCTCAGTTTCATTTATTTGTCGAGTTTTCAGTCATATGTTTAAAAAATGTTAAAACAACGATAATTGTATTGTACTAACTGTATATACAACAAATTCCTATTATAAAAAAATATATTCGAAAGGTTTTTTTTAAATTTGTACAGCAATTATAAGTTTGTAATATGTCTATAACATTTCTGCATTAATTATAATTTATAATAACAATTATTATATTTTTCTTTAGTAAGGTACAAATTATAATTTATAATGAATAATCTATTTTTTATTGGCCTTTAAAATTTGTCAAATTTGTAATTACCATGTAATATTAATAATTGGACGATAAATCATTTAATTTTCTAACACAAATGGCAGAAATACAACTCTTCAGTTTCATTCTATGCACTGAACACACTCCACATGGGAATTATTCCAAGAAAACTGGAAATAATCAACGTGCGGCTGGTGTTGCCATATTGTAAATGGCAAAGTTATATGCCTAAACAGAGTTAAATAATGTATTAAAATTTGCCTTATAACAAATATTTAATAAAATTAAACAATTTTCTTTATTCTTTAAAGTTAGTTAAATGATAACTTAAGAATTTTTAGCAAAAAACCCTCATGCCATTGTAATTTCACAAAGATGTTTGTCACCCTGTTGTAGATTTTGACATTTCTTGTCATTATTCCAATACACCACAGACCTATAAATTCCAATGCAGTCATTGACTTTGCTGGTGTTAGTAATTCTTCTCAGTTCAGTTTGCCACTGTTGTCAGGGTTCGTTCGAAGTGAGTACACGCAAAAAACTAGAAGCCGCAAAAAATAGCAAAGAAGAGATTTTCTTTACCAACCACATTGCTGCTATTGAATAATCAATCGGTGCTGAATAGAAAAAAAAATTTACAAGATTTACGATTTGTTTTCATTCTCTTACACAATGTTGTAAAACAAACGTAGAAACATTAATTAAGAGAATAAAATAAATTTGTAATTAGAAAATAAATGGAAAAAAGTGAAAATTAAATGAAAAAAAGAAATGGAAGAAAATTTGCCGATTTTTTTCTCAACTCATATTGTGTGAAGAGTGTGTGTGCTGGAGAGAAGTTACGTGAGTGGTGAATATGTTACGAAGCCATCAGCCATCTTGAGTGGTGGATAACGAAACACACTTCCAATATTTGCCGAAGCAACTTCTTGCACACGACGGGCGATAGTGCTTGTCAGTTGGAATCAAGTACAGCGGCTTTCAGCAGCTCTTCACCGATTGGGTTAAAGAAAAATGTTAGCAAACTTTACTGATTTTATAAAGTGAAACTAGAAAAAAAAAAAAATAATTTTGAAATAGTGAATTGAATTAAATAATATTAAATGTTAATTTATTTGGAAAATAATTATTAATTTTTATTGAAAATTTAGTTAATTTTCGGCTTTGCTTTTGCTGTGGGTTACGTAACCCCAAAGAGAAACTTTGAGAATAATTTGCAAATAAGAAATGAAATGTGGTGTTACCTCTTCTTGCCAACTTAAAAGAATAGCACTGGATTTATTTTTGAATGCGGCTTTTTGTTTTTTACTTTATACATTTTTTAATAATCCCTTGAATCCTAGTAATTATTTTATTGTATCTTTTTTCTTGCAGAGCTTACGTGCGCTAGCTTCAATTTCTTGTTGATCTTCAAAGCAACTTAAAACAAAAAACAAATCAAAATGTTCGTATCAACAGTCTCCCGTATTGCCCCCGTTGCCAGGACCGCTGTAAGTATTAAGAAACCCCTACAATATTTTTGCAAATTTATTTGCAATTACATAAGTTAGCTGCGAGGAATCGATTTTTTTCTATACAGCAGTAGCCGTCAGCCGCGCGCCTCTTTCGTCTGTCAATTGTAGTTCTTCATTTTCTCATTAATTCTATTCTCTCCCTCTCTTTCAATAATTCCATTGACTCTTTAGTGGTGAATTTCCATTGACCGCTCTCAATTGAAAGGTGTATTTGTCAAAGCAGCGAGAAAGAAACGAAAAAACGTTACATAAGTAAAATTTGAGGTTAGGTGCCTTAAAGTTAGTTGAGAGTTGATAAAAGGAAAAAAATACATTTGCGGTAGTAAAGAACAAGGTTTATTTTTTACTAAAGTAATATGTTTTTAAAGTAATTATGTAGAATCAATATATTAATAGCTTGTATTTGTTTACCATTTGTTGTTAAGTGGTTGCCGGGTAAATATTTTTTTGTTACTTCCTAGTTTTGGGATGTGGCACCGTATATACCGGTATAATGTTATGACATTGTGTTTATGCCTTATTGAATAATAATCCGCGTGATGTTTTTTATAATGTTATTAATATTTTAGAATACTTTCTTTGGTAAATAGTTGGAGTTTACAGAGATATTGTTCTAGTTATTGCAATTATGTAATTTTTGGAAGTTTTTTTTTATGACCATGGCCTATTATAACATAAATTACATAAGGCTCCGCCGAAGAGCAGACTTTGTGGTAGAAACTTCTTTAGCTCATTATGTTTATAACAATTTAGGTGGGTGTGCAATATAAACAATAATTCCCAGCAGCAGCTGACTTTTCAATACAATTGAATTAATTTATTTTAAAACAACATTGTAATATTCCGGCTTCTCAACTTGCCAATTTTTCTCAATTGCATAACTTATTTTTGGCACATGTATCTATTATTGGGGTATATGCTTTGGGCCTTTTTTATTCTTTTATCTTTGTCACAAAAGGTTGAATAATTTCCTTGCCTTCTTTATCTTGAATTGTTAAATAATTTTAATTTGAAGATATCAACAATATAAAAAGGCATACCGGCAAAGTAATTGATTTTTTTATTTATAATAAGTCAAAGGAAATAAAAGCACGTATTTAAAATACTTAGCAACATAAAATTCTTGGCACAATGGAATTATATTAATAAACAATTTTATTAATACTATTTTAAATGATATACTTCTTTACATTGTTTTAAGAAAGGTTATGTGTCGCTCATGTTTATCTTTACGTCACAATGCGGCGTTGTTGCGATTAGTGATTGACTTTGTTCTCTTACCTCTCTTCATGTGTTTGGCAATCAGCTGATTTACATGCCCTAGCAAATGGAATAAAAGGGAGAATTATTGCAAATAAAAGAAATAATGTTAAACAATATAGTGTAACATAATTAATACAATTTAATTTAATTTTTTTTTTTATATCATGGTAACATTTCTTTTTTGGCAAAGGAGAAAACTTGTTAGTTTTTCTTTCTCTCGCACACTGAACAAACCTAACCTTTAAATTTGCCAAGCCGTGTGTTCAGTGAATGGAATTGTCAGTGAATTGAAAGAAAAAACCTGCAAATTGTGATTTATAATTTAAAGAAATCGAAAATTAAATTGAATTTTGTGTTCATATTGGATAATAAGTGATTTAATGTGAATGTATTAAGAAACCACTGTGAATAATTAACGACCCAGGAAACAAAAATATCTATTGAAAACTGGTAGCCAAAGAAACAACTCCCTTCAACGAAATAAAAAAAACAGATGTTGCATAACTTTTGGTGATTGTTAGAACAGACATACAGTGCACTACTGCCTGTTTTAGGAAAAAATCGATTTTTTTTTACATAACGTTAACTAAAAACACAATTTATAAATATTTTTTTTTTTAAATTATTTCCAGCTCCTTAACGGCTCCAAGCAATACTTGCGACCATTGAGCAGCGCAGTCATTAGCCAAAGCCAAACCTTGGCCGCTCAGAACACAACCCCCGTTGCTTTACTGCCACAAATCAGGTCATTCCAGACCTCCCCCGTCACACGTGACATTGATTCAGCTGCCAAATTCATTGGTGCTGGTGCTGCAACAGTCGGTGTAGCTGGTTCCGGTTAGTATTGGAAGAGATAACAAATTCTCAACAAACATAGCAGTGGCAAAGAAAACTTTTTCCGTCCACCATTATTGGATGGATGGATTGTGCATATATATTTCACATTTGTGTTTACCCATAGCCGTCATCTAGTCAGTTGCAATCTAGCATCTGGGACACACAAACGAGTATCTGATTACTCTCAAAACAAAATTGTCCCGGGAAGGTCTGAGATATGGTCAAAAGTTCAACAAAAAACGCCAAGTTGTATGGTGTTTGAACTTGTTTATTTTCTAGCAGGAAACTTGTATGATTCAAGAGGCGAAAGTACAAGAAATTCTGTATTTTTGTTAAAATATAAAAATACATTGAAATCTTTTGTGACCAGCAATTTTAGTGCAATGTGCTCGCCATTTCCCTTGCCATGGGGGAATATGGAACTCAATTCAGACTAATCTGTGACTGACTATCTTCGGCATGGGAAAACATTGTGTGAATTTATTTGTGCTCACCAAAAAAAAAAACCAACAAAAAAGTTTACTTTGCCGCTGCTTTTTTAATTTTTTATTACAAAAACTAATTGCTTTCTTTTTTCTTTCTCTTCTTCCTCTTCTATCATCTTCCAATACAACAGGTGCCGGTATCGGAACAGTATTCGGTTCCCTCATCATTGGTTATGCCAGAAATCCATCATTGAAACAACAATTGTTCTCCTACGCTATCTTGGGTTTCGCCCTTTCTGAAGCTATGGGTCTTTTCTGTCTTATGATGGCCTTCTTGCTCCTCTTCGCTTTCTAAAGTGTATTTGTGTCCTAAGAAGACTTTAAAACTTAAAAAATATAATACAAACAACAAAAATAACATCTGTACCACAACAACAACAAACAGCTCCATCATCTTTATTGTTTTTAAAAAACATCCAAGAGTAATAAAAAAGCAACACTTTTATTTAAGTTTAAAACGGAAATAAAACAAAAAATTCGATAACAAAAAACCATCCCCGAACAAAAACAACTATTTCAAACAAAAGTTATTTATAGAAGAAAAACCATATAAGAAAATGGATAATATTTGGAATATGTTCCGTCTATGAAAACATTGCATTTTTTGTATACAATGTGACGACGACCGATTAGACGGCGTTACATAAATGAAACGACCTAGTGAGAGAAGCCATTCACCTTTAATTTTTTCTATTTCTGTTTCAAAAACATTTACCCGATAGAGAGAGGAATGGAGTAAGAAGTATTTCCTGAAATGTCTTACAGATGATTTCGGTCTATCTTTGCGCGCTCTCATCATATATAACTTAAAAAAAAGATTGGCGATATCATCTCTGATAGATAAATGAAAAATAACATCTTATTCACTTATCGTCTAGACATTTTTTAGAATACATTTTTACCCTCCGTTCAGTTTTTCCTCACTACTACATAGTCATTGTTTTCGAATTTATTTGAAAATATGCTATTTCTTTTGTTTATTACGTTCGTTTCTTTCGTTTCGTATTAGTTATTATTTAATTCTACTTAGTAGAAGAAAAAATAAACGAATAATACTAGCCAACAAAAAATATCTATATCTCTTCGCTAAAAAAGAAACATGTTTGTTCTCGTCATCATCATGTATATTAGAATTTGGTCTAGAAAACAAATTTTAATCTTTTTTTCATCATACATGAAATTGGAAAAAACAAACATCAAACTACATTCACTGCTGTACAAATATAAGTGTTTTGAAAATGAACAAAGAATGAATAAATTTCAAGGATTTCGTGAATTGAAAACCAAAAACTTTGCAAAGGTTATTTTATTCTATACAGGAATTTGGAATAATTATGACATTTTTATACGGTTATTAGCAAAAGAGTGGGAGGAGTCAGATATATTGATGAAAAGTTGTAGTAAAATTTGATTAGATACTTTACTAGGTTTCGAGAAAAGAAAGTATACAATTTCTGAACAATTTATCGAGGTCTGTTCGATTGTTCCCGTGTTGCAATAATCCACTAATTTTTTGCTATTTTCTTCGGTATCATAAAGAACAATTTGTTAACGTGGTAAAACCATTCTTGCAGGTTCTGGAACAGACCAATAGTATGTACGGTTTTGGTGTTTCGCGGCATTTCAACACACATTTGACTTACAACCGATTTTACGGCGCAGTTAAAATAATTAGCACGATTTGAATGAATTTGTTGCCGGCAAAAACTTAGCTGGCTTGGGGATCTCGTTCGTGGTAAAGTATCGCAGTAAAGCTACTTGAGATCTCATGTTAATTTCAAGATTATCAGTCTTATTCTGGATGTCAATTCCACGTGAATTTACTCGCTCTTCCCCTTCGACTTAGAACAACTTTTCACAGTGAATTTTTTCGCATTCTCGCTTTCGCCTTATTCCGAATGAAGTTCGAAAGCGAAAAAATCCGTTTTGGGGAACAATTACTTATTCTGGATTACAGGGAGTGGGATAATTTTTTTTACACATTTATTACTACTATTCTCAGAATGTTTGGTATTGATAATAAAATATATCGATCTACGATTTGGTATAGAACCAATTTAAATTGATAATCTTTGAAGGAAGTTTTGGCACCCAATAGGAATTTGATAAATCATGTTAGAGCGAATTCGATTAAAAACATGTCCAAACCCCCAAAAATACTAAAAATAATGGTTACCCGGAAACTTGGGCCAATAATCATAATTTTTCGTATGGAGATTTTCTACCCAATGAGAATCCAAAATATAAAATTACAGCTAATTTGGTTGAAGCATGTGTCTAAGCTCTCCAAAATACCGAAATTTAGAATGTAGTATTATATGGGGGATATTCTAAAAAGTGAACCAACATGGGCCAATGAGAACCCAATATATTAAATTGCTCCCCAAATTAGTTGAAACACATAATCAAGCTCCCCAAAATATCGATATTTGTGTGGACTTCCTTAAAAGGTGGACCAAATATTGAAAAAATTTGGTAAGAAGATTTACTACCATACCACAACCCTGAAACATAAGTCTAGAGAATCCAAAACACCAAATTATAGCGGCTCCTGTTGAAAAGCGTGTTTAAAACCACCGAAAATGCCGAATTATGGGGGTACTGTTATATGAGGGATACCGTAAAAAGTGGACCAATATTGATAATTTTCGGTAGGGAGATTATATACCCAATGAGAAACAAATTACAGCAAATTCTGTTAAAAACATGCCAAAAATCCCCACAATACCGAATATTTGGGGATACCGTTATAAGGAGGCTATATATTTGGGTGGATCCATGGCACAATAAATAGGAAGTCGATTTATGGCAGCTTATGACTCGATTAAAGTTCCGTTCGAGAACCTACTAATTTTGCAAGTTTTGCAACTGTTTAACCAGAAACCGTTCCTCAACCCACAAAACTATTAAATCCAAAACCAAATTTAAGAAGACTGAAAACAAAATGACCTTTTCTTTGTAAACTTTTTACTCGAGAAATTTGAACGAGTAAAAATGGTAAACAGGAATGCAATCTTCTGATAGGCTATTGTGTTGATTTTGAAGTATTGTCATCTAATTTTGGAATATTTATTAGATTTCGAACTTTTCAAATTATTTTGTACTCTGAGAGCGATTTTGAAATCTTTCCCCTTTTACTACCTTTACTATTTGAAAAAAGTAGTAGAACAGACCATAACTGTCAAAGTGTGTAATTTCTGCTTGAATTCGATGTGCAATGTTGCCAACCATGTGAAATATAATATTAATATTCACCCCTATTCTGTATGTCGTCGTCGACACGAAACGACGTCGAAGAGAGTCGTCTTTTGCAAATTGGTATTCCCCAAGGTATATTTAATAAGGTAGCCGCATCGGGCCAGCTGTTGGACAAATAAATGTCAAAAATGTTGTTGTAATGTTGAACCAAAAAATTAAAAAACAAAATTATAAATGAGAATTTCTAATAGCTTTTTTGGCAATACTTTTATTAACAGTTTCTACAAGAATTTGTGTAAAAAAATCTTGCCAATCTGTTTGTTTTGGCAAAATATTTTTGACATATCAAAATACAACAACCGATGTTTGTTGTAGAAATTCGCCGATGCGGCTACCTTGTATATCTACCTTGGTATTCCCTATGTCGTTGTCGACATTTATCGATAACTATTGAAACATTTTTGGTATTCCGTAACAATGTGTGACGACGACGATGTCGAAGATTTCTTCGTCATAGTTTTTGTTGACGACTGAAGCGTTTGAACATTTTTTTTGAAATTAAAAAAAAAAAACATGACCGGACAAGAACAGGATATATCATTCTAGAATCTATTCAATACTTAATGCAAAATAAAGTGTAAATAAAGAAAAATATATGGGATCTATATATAAATCTAAACCGATATTTACCAATGTCAATGTCTATGTGGAAATAAAATTTCATCCCAATTGGATGGATTTTTTTCCAAATTTCATCCCGTTCGGATCATAATGGTGGCATGTAACTTGTTTAAAATAATACATGAATGGAGGGACATGCATAAATCGACTGAAAAATAATTCTATGTACATACTATATACTAAAAAGTAACTATGGGTCTATCTCGTTTCTTTTTGGTCGTTGCAAACACATTTACCAAGACATAATGCCCTGTGCCACAGTGCGGTGAAGGATACAAACACATTTTTGCCCAAAAATATGCAACAAAATTTTTGTTTTTATTGATATTATCGATAAATAGTCGACATCGTCGCATGAGTGTTACAGAATACCAAATCAGTGTCGAAGTGATGTGGATGCGAAGTGATGTCGAAAGAGAAACGGAATAGGGGTGATTAACATAAGGGAAAATTTTGCAGGTGGTCGAGACAAAAACAAAGATTTTTAGTTTGATACATCACTTTATTATTGCATCATGTGTGGACCGATATATTCGATATTTGCGATATATCACATTTGCAATGCCAACCATCCTAGGAGTAATAGTGCAAAATTTCAAAGCTCTATTTTAAATATTGCGATCTAATAGACATTTCAACAGACGGACACTCATAAATAGACATAGAATTTTATTTCGATCAAGATTATATATCGTTAGCTAAAATGCAAAAAGGCGTAACTAACAAAAGCATAATTGCATAATTTGCATAATTGTGTAGGAGAAGCAAAAAACTGTTTTGAATGAAAACTATAAACATGTCATGTGAAATGAAAAAGTATGCCCGGCAGGGTGATATTGCATATGACGAATAATAGATTACAATTTGTTTAACAAATTTAGTTATTTAGTTTAATGGCAGTCATAACAATTAAGTAAAAATTTGCATTTTTTGTTAGTTACGCCTTTTTGCATTTATCAAATAAACCCACTTGTAGTTACGTCTTTTTGTTTTTTGTTTATATAAGCTCCTTTTTTGACCGCAGACGTGTAAAACTTTGTCAACACATGTAGTTTATTGACATTCACAATATTCATTCAAAAAGTCAATTTTCAATTTTTTGTTAGTTACGCTTTTTTGCATTTTAGCTGACGATATTCTTTGTGGGTTCTCCGGTGATTATTTCAATGTGTTTCAAACGGAATGTCAAATTTAATATACACTTCATATTATGCTGGAGGGTATAAAAATCCACATTGAATGCAAATCCTTTTAAATTTGTTCTTGTAACAGTCGGTGAAATTATTTTTATGTAAAAAATCTGAGCATATATTAAAGTGAGTTAAGGCTACGTTTAGATTTACGAAATCCACTCGATTCCAAACAGCTGATTTCCTTATATTTTCCTATTCGGAAAAATGCATATGTAATTAAATATCGTTTTGACACATTGAAATTTCCGTATCTTTCACACGACGAATTCGAATTGCATATTTATGTAAAGTGACAACACATATGTATGTAAAATACATATAGTGTAAAAGCACCTTAATACGTGTAAAAGAGTTCAGTACATGTTTTTTATGGTTTACGTCAAAGCTAATTAAGCGCTTACGCCAACTGCTTTAATTTAA